CAACTGTATCTGAGAAACCTATTTTGGTCATTTGACTAAATATATATTTCCTATGAATCATATCACACCATCTGTTACCGTACGAAGTTATAATATTATTGACTATATTCTCTATGCTGTACTTTTCATCCCCATGAATTCTTTATAAGTGGAAGTTTGTACCTCTTAATTCTTTTCAGCTATTTCACCCATTACCTCCCCCCACCCTCTGGCAACCACCAGTTTGTTCTCTGTATGTATGAATCTGTTTCTGTCTTGTTTTGCTTGTTCATTTGTTTTGTTTTTTAGATTCCACATACAAGTGAAATCGAATGGTATTTGTCTTTCTCTGACCTAATTCACTTAGCGTAATATCTCTAGGTGAATGGAGCTTATTTTGAATCATTAAGTATTTCAGTAGAAAGAGTTTTATAGCTATATTTATACCCAATGGGATAGAGATAAAAATTCATATGGCAATTGAAAGTGACCCTTTATAAATTTGTAGAAAATGGGGACACTTACTAGAGGTTTAACACTCAGAAGTATCTTATCATTATATCCTAGCAAAAAACTCTGAATAAGCCTTTTTGAAAGTCTGAAAGAAACGTGGGTTAAAAATAAAACATTCAGGAGGATAAAGTATTGACCATTAACTGATAATTCAGGATAGTTTCCCCCACTCAAAGAGGAAATATATGTTACTCCTTTTGGGATCGACTCTTAGACTTTCCCTGCAATAGAATACCAGTTTAAAACCCATAGAAATAAAAATTGGCCCCTGTGCGTTCAGTCCATACGTAGCTCTGATGCCAGTGAGGAATTGCTATTCTTCAGCAATAACGACACATAACAAATTATCTAACTACATTGGACGGGGTTGTTGTGCCATCACTAAGTCTTTGGCCTTCAACTCCACACCAGCCTCTCTACCAGGCTATGTGTTGGGAGGTTGGGTCTCTGCAAACCACGTATCTGCTCTGTCAATTGATTCCCTGTGGGTTCTGCCCATAGGGACGGCCAGAGGAAGGCTGCAGGGGTAGGGATGAGGGCTTTTCCTTCCTGGGGGCTTCTTGTCTGCCCCTGAGCTGTGAGCAAACCCCCAACGATATTTTTTCACTCCAACAACAGCGGCTGATTCCTAGGGCAGGAAGTGAATCCAGTTTGCAATTTTTCTAACCTTTGAAGAACCAGAATCAAAGTACCACCTCGGGACACTTGCTTCCTGAAGTTTTGTTATCTCCATGGTGGTTTAGTGTTCCCTGTTTTAGCTTTTCAGATCTTCAAAACATAGTCAACGATTTTTTATATCTAGTGATTGACCCTTTATGTTAAATTGTCTATGTAAAAATAACTCTTGTGATTTCTGTCTCTCGATGGATACAGTTGTATTAGGAGGCCAAGGATGAAAACAACTTGACTGTAACTGTCAACCAATAGGGCTAGTACTTTACAAAGGGTCACATTGGCTTGGAAGGTCAAATGGCTAAAGTTTATAATATTTTATGAAGATGTAATATATAATGAAATATATAATATGAAAGTACCCTGAAAATGGACTAAATCCAGTAGTTTGTCTCTATCCTTGTAATGTGAGTTTGCTGGGGTACCTGGGTGGCTCAGTCAGTTAAGTGTCCGACTCTTGGTTTGGCTCAAGTCAGGATCTCATGGGACGTGAGTTCAAGCCCCACATCGAGCTCTTCGCTGGCAGCAAGGGGCTTCCTTAGGATTCTCTCTCTCTCTCTCTCTCTCTCTCTCTCTCTCCCTCTCTCTCTGCCCCTCCCCCACTCGTGCTTCTCTGTCTCTCTAAAATAAATAAATGAACAAAAAATTATTTTAAAAATGGGAGTTTGCTATATTATTTATGACTATTTGATTCTGACAGAAGACGAGAGAGACAGAAAGTATATCAGTTAGGGTTTTCTGCAGAAACAGAGCAGGTAGGAATTGGTTCATGTGGTTTGGAGGCCAAGAAGTCTTACCAACTGCCATCTGTAAACTGGAGACCAGGGAAGCCACTGATAAAATTCAGCCCGAACTCGAAGGTCTGAGTGTAAGTCCCAGTCTGAGTCTGAAAGCCCGACAACCAGAGGCACAGATGTTGATGTCGGAGGAAAAGATGGGTATATCCCAGCGGAGCACAGTGAGTAAATTCGCTCTTCCTCTACCTTTTCTATGCTAATCAATTTCTATTCTGGCCCTCAAGGAATTGGACGACGCCACCTCATTGGTTAATGGTGGATCTGTTTTGCTGAATCTACTGATTCCAATGCTAATGTTTTCCAAACACAGCCTTGCAGACACATCCAGATGTAATGTTTTCCCAGCTATCAGGGCGTCCTTTAACCCAGTTAAGTTGACACATAAAATTAACCATCACAGATGGGATCGATGAAACTCATATGTGTTAAGTGTACATAAGCATACATAAGCTAATAGCATACCCGTTATAGGTAAAACTCATGAGATGTGCTAAAGATAGAAAATGAGCAAAGAAGTCACTTGAAAAACATGAGCAGAATTCATAAGCTATGTTAAATGTGGATAATACACTAGCAACTTTCAAGACATATTACACATATGATAAATAGGATGAAACGAGCAAAAGTGTTTACAGAAGAAAAATATGAGATGGGCCAAGTCATGAGGTACAGATCATGTCACTTCTAGGTTGACAGCTAATCGTCCCTAAATTGGCTACTCATTTGGACCCATCCTGGCCCCATTGTGCTTGGGTTAAGCAACACGGACAAAACCACGGTTGTTCAGCAGGCCCGCTGGCGATTCACAGCTGAGGCCCTAAGTACTTGCCCCTGGGTTCTAATGGAGGCAGTGCCTGTAACCCACCCCAGGCACTTCCTGCTTAACCTCAACTCTGGTCCTTGTGACTGGAAGAGAGGGGTTGGAGAGAGGAAGGGAGGGAGAGAGAGAGAGACGTGAGAATCCCAAGATTCAGGGAGGGTCATCTTTTACCGTGCTTGTTCTCTATGCTATATTGCACTATTCTATCTCCCCCCACACAGCGTCTCACTGTGTGTTTTGAATAAATTAATACACCACTGACTTAGGTGTCTGTGAGCCTCTCTTCAGTGAACTTTAGGATGAACCTTGTTCATTTCCATGGAAAGGGCAGGTGGAATTTTGTGAGGGATTGCATTGCATGTATAGATCAATTTGGGAGTATTGTCATCTTACGGATATTGAGTTTTCCAATCTGTGACACAAGATGTCTTTCCATTTATTTAGGCCTTAAAAAAAGATTTTTCCAATCGTGTTTTGTAATTTTCAGTGTACAAGTGTTGCATTTATTTTGTGAAGTTGATTCCTAAGCACTTTTTGGTGCTATTGTAAATAATAAACAATTAGCGGAATGTTGTGCAACTATTAAAATGCAATTTAGGAAGTACGGTATGTATAATAACAGACACTATTGTTGGAAGTAAGATCTAATAATCATTGGAAGATGATTTCCATTTAAGGAACAAGATAAGAACACCAAATCATATGTATTATAACTGTACTGTTACTATGTACCCAAAATAAGCAAATAAACCTGTACACAGAAGTCCTAAAGTAAAATGTAATTTTTCTTTTTCCACCTCTTTGTAATTTCAAACACGTCTTTAATGACAATGATTACTTCTATCGTGAAAACTCTAAATATATTATTTATTTATTTATTTATTTAAAAATTTTTTTTTCAACATTTATTTATTTTGGGGACAGAGAGAGACAGAGCATGAACGGGGGAGGGGCAGAGAGAGAGGGAGACACAGAATCGGAAACAGGCTCCAGGCTCCAAGCCATCAGCCCAGAGCCTGACGCGGGGCTTGAACTCACGGACCGTGAGATCGTGACCTGGCTGAAGTCGGACGCTTAACCGACTGCGCCACCCAGGCGCCCCTAATTTTTTTAATTAAAAAAAATTTTAGAGAGAGTGAGTACAAGCAAGGGAGAGGGGAGAAGGAAAAGAGAGAGAGATTGAGAATCTCAAGTAAGCTTCACGCTCAGTGCAGAATCCAGTGCAGGGCTTGATCCCAGGACCCGGAGCCGAAATCAAGAGTCAGACACTCAAACAACTGAGCCATCCAGGTGCCCCCTGAATTTGTAATTAAAAAACCCAATAACCTTGAATTATTTGGGTGGTTAAAATAGCCAGACTGGATTATTTACGATACATCTTCTTTGAGAGTTTATTGTATGTTTATTCTTACAATGCTAAAAATAATATTGTTATAGTTGATGTCAAATTGACACCAGTTGATCACATAAGACTTTTTAGAGTTTCTCATGCTAAGCAGCTCATGTAACATTCATTATTCTACTGACCAGATCTTTTTTTACCATATAGATTTTTAATTTCTTTTTAATTCCCCATTCACATGTATTGATGCTATACATTATCGTAGATAATCCTTAGTGCAAGAGTCAGTATATGATTAAAAATTATAATAGCAGAAAACTGTACATTTGACATTACAGGAAAACAATTTTTATTTTTTATTGTGTAAATAATTCAAATTCTGGCCCAGCATACAGGCCATTGTCAGAACACTCTAATTCTTTTCTTTTTAACGTTTATTTATTTTTTGAGAGAGAGCATGAGACAGAGCTCGAGAGGGGAAGGGCAGAGAGAGAGGGAGACACAGAATCTGAAGCAGGCTCCAGGCTGTGAGCTGTCAGCACAGAGCCCGATGCAGGGCTGGAACCCATGAATCATGAGATCATGACCTGAGCTGAAGTTGGACACCGACTGAGCCACCCAGGTGCCCCATGAACACTCTAATTCTTATGCCTCAAACTTTCTGAGAGTTCATTTCATGGATACAAGAAAAAACAAACCAGTGTCTCTTATATTTGCTGTCCACATTGTCTGAAAGAGGCAGATTAAACAAATTTTTTTTTAATGTTTATCTTTGAGAGATAGAGCAGGGGAGGGGCAGAGAGAAAGGAGGACAGAAGATCCAAGGTGAGCTCCATGCTGACAGAAGAGAGCCCGATGTGGGGCTGGAACTCGTGAACCATGAGATCCTGACCTAAGCTGAAGTCAGAAGCTCAACCGACTGAGCCACTCAGGTGCCCCTGAAAGAGACCGCTTTATCTTCATGTATAGAAAAATGAGTTATTGCTGGAATCCTCCACATTCGTAAAGCACGTCTCTCCCCATCACTAAATGGATCTTCTGAGCAGGTACTGCAGAGAGTCTGAGGATCCGGGAGCACCTTTTGAGCTGCTCCCCTCCTCCTCCCAGGAGTCCTGTTTCCCCCTGGCTAATTGGAATAGGTTCTGCCTGAGTACTGCTTCATGCTGGGAAGACTATGCCCCACAGTTTAATTAGCTGATAATTCTAATCTACTAATTTAACTAACACTTCTTTTGAGCATTGTGTCCACCTGGCACAACATTTCTGAGACTTAATACAAGGGCGCACGGTTTCCGGGCAGTTTGCCTCCGTTTACTGAACCACTATGGCACCTTCATTATTTGATTTAACTCTTCTATTCTCTGGCATTGTGAGGTTTTCAGCCAAACCCACTGATGTGTGCTCATGAACACCAGTTGTCTACAAATCACCTGCTTTTCTGAGGAAGGATCTTATTACTAAAACACAGCTAGTTCCCGCCAAGAAGAGGGCTTAGATTTCTTTGGCCGGCTTGATGCTTTATCAGACTGCCTGTTTGCTCTCTGTAGTCATTGTGCTAAGCCCAAATTTCTTCCTTCTCTTTTTGTTCTGGGAAGGTCCTGCTGCGAATGACTCTCCAGCCTCCCCGGGGACACTGGACCTTGCTGTGCCCCACCCTGCAGCTAGATCCTTCTGTGATATGAGTACAATGGTTCTACTTCCTGTCACCATCTCAGGGGCGTCATTTAAACCCAAGGTCATCCAAAAAGTTACAGCCTGCACCTGCCCCCCACCCTCCATGGCTGTCAGAAGATACTGTACCCTTCCTCTGCTTCTATTCTGGTCGCCCTTGTCCCTCCCTTGGTAAAAGACTCCCACTGGAATCAGTAAAGGCAGGACCGGCAAAGCCAAGGGTGCTACAAGCCATCCCTTTGTTCTGAGGACAGCTAGTTCCAAGAAGCGCTCTCTTAAAAATGGGAACACCCTCAAGGGGAAGTCACCTGAAACGCAAAATACCTCTGTGAAAAGGAGAAGCAGATTCTACTGTAACTAACTCTGTGACCTTGGGCTTGAAGCCATCTTTCTTCAAGTCTCAGCTTCCTCATCCAAGAAAGGGGAGCTTGGACTGGACCTATTTCTTCAGTTTCTGCAGGTTGAGAGATTGCTTTGTGAATCTGATGAAAGTCACAGACTATCTCCCTACAATGGTGCACGTGTGCAAATTAAAAACTATATATAGGACTCTGAGAGGCTCAGTTGTTAAGCATTTGACTTTGGCTCAGGTCATGATCTCATGGTTCGTGAGTTCGAGACCCCCATCAGGTGAGCTCGAGCCCCTCTTCGGGTGAACATGAGACACATTTTGGGTGAGCCCTGCTTCTCTCTCTGTCTCTCCCCCCACCCTGTCCCTAGTGGGATTCTCTCTCTCTCTCTCTCTCTCTCTCTCTCTGCCCCTTGCTCATCTGCGCCCTCTCTCTCTCTCTTTTTGAAAAAACTAAAACAAAAATAGATATATAAAATTATAAACAAATTAGGATTGACTCAGTCTGTAGGCCCACAGCTACTGGATTAAAATAAGAAATAAACAAGCAAACAAACTAAACCATGAACACTGTCTCTAAATTCATTTTGAATTAAAACATTTTTTTTATTTATTGTTGCGAGAGAAAGAGAGAGAGACTGAGAGTGATTGGGGGATGGACAAAGAGAGAAAGAGATCCAGAATTCGAAGCAGGCTCCAGGCTCTGAGCCTGCTCTGTCAGCACAGAGCTCAATGTGGGGATCAAACTCACAAACCATGAGATCATGAACTGAGCTGAAGTCAGATGCTTAACTGACTGAGCCACCCAGGCGCCCCCTCTAAGTTCACTTTGAAGTCTTACATTCTGTGATTCCAACCTCCCCATCCAGGTTCCTGACATGACTTGGATGTCCCCTGCACTGATAGGTCCCTCATGCCTCATTTCTGTGTGATGTTGTCACCTGTTTGTTTTATTTGCTAACTGTAGAAGATCACCTTTGGACGAAATCACGAAATGTGATGAGACACTACAGGACCCTATCATCAGCCATTTCTTCTCACTTTTCAAATTTATCTGTCTTTTTAAAATTTTATTTTTAAAATGGTGGTAAAATATACATTAAAGTTGACCATTTTAAAAAATATGTTTATTATTTTAAGAGATAAGGGGCAGAGAGAGAGAGAGAGAGAGAGAGAGAGAGAAAGAGAGAGAATCCCAAACAGACTCCATGCTCTATGCAGAGCTGACGTGGGGCTCAATCCCACGAACTGTGAGATCATGACTTGAGTGGAAATCAAGTTAGATGCTTAACCAACTGAGCCATCCAGGCGCCCTTTAAAGCTTACCATCTTACCCATTTTTAAATGTACAGCTCACAGTGACATAGCACATTTACATTGTCGTGCAGGCGTCGTCACTACCCAGCTCCACAATGTTTTCATTTTCCTCAATTAGAACTCTGGACCCATTCGACGGTAATGTCCTCTTGCCCCCGCCCCTGGCTACCACCATTCTACTTTCTGTCTTTGTAAATCTGACTGTCCCAGGTGGCTCACGTAAGTGGAATCATAGAGTGTTTGTCCTTGTGTCTGTTTTAGTTTCCTTATACTGTCCTCAGGTTTCAGCCATGGTGTGGCATGTAGAATTTCATTCCCTTATCAAGGATAAATAATATTTCATTGCATCTATCAGCCACATTTTCTCTAATTCATCTATCTGTTGATGGACACTTGGGTTGCTTCTGCATGTTGGGTTTTGAACAACGCTGCAAGGGACAAGTGTGTACAAATGTCTATTTGGGCTCCAGCTTTTTATCTGGGGTATGTGCCCAGAAGCAGCGTTGCTGGATCAAATGGTAATTCAATATTTAATTTTTTGAGGAAAGGCCATACATTTTTTCTACCATTTTATATTCATACCAACTGGCATAAGGGTTCCAATATATATATATATATATATATATATATATATATATATATATGTATATGTATATTTCTGTGCTCCCCCCCCTTTCTTCTTCTCTTAAATATTTGCTTAGTCTGTAGTGCTGAAGAACATAATTTTTTGGTAGGTTTTAGTAGAAAAAGTGGAACAATTGCTTAGCTTTCTGTTATTTATTACTATTATTAATATTACTGCATTCATGTTCTTGAAATTGAAATGAGTCTTAAAACTAAGCATCAAAAGAAACTTGCCCATTGCCAATTATAATATAAGTCTCATCACCTATGTACCTACCAGTGCAGCCACACTTTGCAGATTCTGTGTATCTATTGGGTTAACTGAATTATTTCCCTGGATACGTTTCATGGTGTTGCATGGTAATTGACATTTGGAACGTTAATAAATAAGTATCTTCCAAAACATTACACCATGACACAGCATTGAGACCCAAAGACAAAAATGTCACAGAAGATTGTTCTATGACGCGATGCAATGAAAACAGGAAAACTGCTAAATCTGCTGAGTGTTAATAGAACCCCCCCCCCCAGCAAATTATAAGATTTGTAGACGTAAATGACACTTAAAAAATGTAAAGCCCAAAATGTGGAGATAAATGTAAAGCAGAACAGAATATAAGTTTCTGTTTTTGGATGCATTTATCAGAAAGTAGGTGGGAATGAAAACATCCCCTGTCCCTTAAGATGACACATGTGTTAGAATAGCTGCCCTGATTCCAAAATGGAAGGCACGGGTTGAGGTCCTGCACGTCTGGATTGCCTGTTGATATCTTGACCTTTAGTCAGAGCCAAAGAAATTTCTGTCTTTCTTAAGCCACAGCAAGTTTGGACCCTATTACAGCATCCTAACCAACAGAGACCTACTTCACCCCGCATGAACGACCAGCTTCTCCGTGAACTGGAAACCTAAATTGGGAAGTTTAAGCCGTAACACTAACAAAGGAAAGAAAGGAAAATGTCTTTGGAACTTGAGGGAGAGAAAAGGTTTTAAACAAAATACCAAAGACTACGATGCATGAGAGAAAAAAAAAATGAGAGATTCGACTCCACAAAAATTAAGGATTTTTGTTGAATGAAGGACAGCACAGAAAAAGTGACAGAGGAGAAGGTAAGAAGACTTGTTTAAGATAGAAAAGTAGACCACAGGTCAATATCTACACTATACAAGGAACTCTAGTGAGTGAACAAGAAGGAGGCAACTGTATCCATTTTCTGTATGCTGCTGTATCAGATGACCACAAACTCACTGGCTTAGAACGACAAAAAATTTTGATTTTACAGTTTTTCAGATCCAAAGTGTGACAAGGCTATCCCTGGCTAAACTCAAGGTGTCTGCAGGGTTATGCCCTCTCTGCAGACTCTAGAGGAAAATCCCCTTCTTGCCTTTTCCGGCTTTTGGAGCTAACAGCATTCCCTGGTCACCGTCAAAGCCAGTGATAGCAAATGAATCTCATGCTGCCTGTGACCTCCTTTTTTGTCCCCCCCCATCTTTAAAGCCATTTATTTGTTTATTATTTATTTATTTAATGTTTGTTTTTGAGAGAGACAGCGTGAACCAGGGAGAGGCAGAGAGAGAGAGGGGGACAGAGGATCCAAAGCGGGCTCCGCGCTGACAGCAGTAAACCCAATGAGGGGCTCGAACTCACAAACTACAAGATCATGATCTGAGCCGAAGTCAGAGACTCAATCAACTGAGCCACCCAAGCACCCCTTATGGTTACACTGGGCCCACTAAGAAAATCTAGGATAATTTCTCTATGTTAAACTCATCTGATTAACAACCTTAATTCCACCTGCAACTTTAATTCTCCTTTGCCATGTAAAGTAAGATACTCGTAGGTTCCAGGGAGCAGGATGCGGACATCTTTGGGGGAACTATTATTCTGCTAACTAGGTACACATCAGAACAAAAGACAAAGGATTTGAATTTGCAGAGGGGGAAACACTTAGGATTAACAAATTATGGTCAGAAACTACCAGTACAATGATCTTAAGTGTCATCCGTTCATTCATTTTTTAATCAGAATATTTAGTAAGCAGACAACATGGGCACAACTCCTGTGGAAAAGCACAGACGGAGAGGTCTTCAAGTGGTCAGCCAAAGGTCCCTGTGAGACCCAGTCTTCCCTAGACCTTCTGAAGTGTCCTAAAATACTGTCAGTAAGAAGTGTATTCATTGTAGAGACCTGCTATGCGAGAAGACGTTCTTTAGAATTCCAAGACTTTTGTCTTCATTTCAGAGTCAACATGACACGGTGTTTAATCTATCTGATTGCTGTGCAAGGTTACCTTCACAGATTAAGAGAGGGCTCAAAGTATTTTTTAAAGAAATTACCAGTGTTAGCCCTAGACTGCCTTTTTGCCTTAACTGGTATCCCACTTTCCCTTAGAGATACTTAACTTTAAAATTGAGTCAGCACTGAAAAAAAAAAAAAAAATCCACACTATCAAAATGCACTCTGTAGAAGTGACTAGAATCAGTATTTTATTTACAGATCCAAGATGCATTCAACATGGCTGTCTCACCAGCCAAGGCAGGGCTGAAAGTCAGGGTCATTTTCAGAACTTCAATTAAATAGATTACATTCAGCAGGGGCACAAATGGAGGCCATTATCATTAAAGTTGAGTTGAGAGAGAGATTGCAAACTTGGGCACCGCGTGAAGATCACAGGAAAATGTGTGTTTGTGCTAGATCTGTAAAGAGTTGGCTTTTATTTCTTTTCCCTGGAAGTTACACTTGCCAGGAATCATGTATCTGACTATAATAATGAGGTTATATGACTTTACATATTGAAAAGATACCTAAACATAATAACAATATTACTTTGAACTTGCACTGCACTCTTCATCCAAGAACTTCTCCATCATTAGCTAATCGAATCTCACGGTGTGGAAATGAAAGTATCTACTTACCTCACTTTACCAAAGGGAGTGTTTCTGAGAAGTTAAGTGACAGTGAACATTTAAATGGAAGGTAGTAGGGAAATGGGGACAGAAATGTCTTGCTGAATAATGTAGATATCTGGGAATGAAACTCAAAGGTTCACATAAGAGCCATTCATCTAATCGAACACTTTAATTTTTTTTTTTTAATGTTTATTTTTGAGAGAGACAGAGCATGAGCAGGGGAGGGGCAGAGAGAGCGGGAGACACAGAATCCGAAACAGGCTCCAGGCTCTGAGCTGTCAGCACAGAGCCCGATGCGGGGCTCGAACTCACGAACTGTGAGATCATGACCTGAGCCGAAGTCAGCCGC